ACAGTGGCTAAATGGTTAGTACTTCTGCTGGCAGTACTCGGGTCGTTGGTTCGATTCCCAACCACGCACCACCTGCCTGGAGTTTGCATGTTCTCCCTGTACCTGCGTGGGTTTTCTCCAGGTACTCTGGTTTCCTCCCACACTCCAAAGACATGCCGGTAAGTTAATTGGCTCCTGTCTAAATTGGCCCTAGTATGTGTATGTATGAATGTGAGTTAGGGACCTTAGATTGTACACCCCTTGAGGGTTAGGGACCTTAGATTGTACGCCCCTTGAGGGTTAGGGACCTTAGATTGTACGCCCCTTGAGGGTTAGGGAAGTTAGATTGTACGCCCCTTGAGGGTTAGGGACCTTAGATTGTACGCCCCTTGAGGGTTAGGGAAGTTAGATTGTACGCCCCTTGAGGGTTAGGGACTGATGTGAATGTACAATATATATGTAAAGTGCTGCATACATTGTATAGAAGTACCTGAAATAAACACATATATGTGAAGGGGGGGGGGGGGCTGTAACATCTCGTAGGACGAATGACCCCCTGCCCGGCGAGGAGCGACATTTGCGGACTGAGGGCTCGTATTTATTGAAGTCGGTGGCGATTGTCCTCCATAAATATTTATGGTCTGGTATTACTGGTGTGATATTATGCGGCGGGGAAGGGCGACGCGGCGTTTCATGTCCCTCTTCAGTCTATTTATTTCCACTGTGCCTGAGGGGAGATTCGATGGCGCTCCTCGCCCCCCCTTCCTTGTCCGGCTCCCATGGGGCCGGTTGGCTGCATGTTTCTGCGCGGAGAGGCCAATTGTATAAAGTGTCAGATTTCCTGAGAGCGCTCCCCCCGGGACACTCGATGTAATCTCACACTTTAACTGGCGTAGACTCGGCCGCGGCTCCTGGGATCGTGTCGGCTCGCTGTCTACAGCGCAGGTTACACGATCGGAGAGATGTCACAAACGCACCTCCGCAGATCGCTTGCTTGGCGGCACCGCAACGCCTGGGCTGTGATTCCTAAACGGCTTGTGAGCCGAACGGAGAGGCAGCCATTGCTGAACTCCCAGCTCGACTATCTTGGCCAAACGCTAGTAGAATATTTGTTTGTATGGACAAACGTTCGATGTACATTCGATGACTCGACGATTGCCGTTTAAAATGTTGTCTGCTTTTAACCTTCGATTGTGGAATGACTAGGCTCTTCCTTGCGTCGTTCAAGGAAAGAAAAATCTTTCTGGCACCTTTGAGTTTTGTCGTCACTGCGGCTGAAGGCGAACAACAAATCGACCCCATTAACAATTAGAAAATCGACCGTTCTTAAAACGAAACCTTTCAAATGAAGTTCTACTCGTGAGTTGCCCTAGGTTGCCTGATTTCATGCTGATCCTCTGGCTTCAATGCAGAGCGTGCACATGAGGACTTCTGGATTTTCTCTGACTTTTTTTTTAACCGGGAATGTGGATGTCGAATTATATTGAGAATTTCCATACGAAGGTTCATACAAACATTCGTTTAAAATTGTACCACTGTATGGGCAGCTACAGTCAAAATGAAAGATGGTAAACTGTTTGTGCTTGTCTAGAGTTTGTGGTGCGGCAAGACATCCAGCCAACTGTCATTTGCTGGAAGATTTCACCATTTGCAGCCACTATAATGGATAATTATCGAAGACTTGGTATAAGTTGGAAACATGTCCCTCTTCTGTTTTGTATTCAATCACTGCAATTCCACACCTCCAATGTCTGCCATGTCTGAGCTTGAGCTGTGTTCTTCCCGTAAAGTCACATGGCTCCCTCCTCTGTGCTGTCCGTACAGTCATGTGGCTCCTCCCTCTATGTACTGCCAGTACAGTTACATGGCTCCTCCCTCTGTGTGCTGTCAGTACAGTCACATGGCTCCGCCCTCTGTGTGCTGCCAGTATAGTCACATGGCTCCTCCCTCTGTGTGCTGCCAGTACAGTCACATGGCTTCTTTCTTTGTATATCTCTATCGCCTGTCTGAACAATGTTTATAAACAATGCTACTTTGTATCTATCTCCCATCTGGACAATGCATATAAACAATGCTACTTTGTATCTCTCCATCTCCTGTCTGATCAATATTTATAAACATTGTGCAGAAAAATATAGAGAGATACAAAGTAGCATTGTTTGTAAACATTGTCCAGATCGGAGTTAGATACAAAGTAACATTATTATATTATTACATCGAGTTTATATAGAGCCAAAGGGTTTGCTCAGCGCTGTACAATAGAGGGGGGGGGGGGGGGGGCGGACAATACATGGCACAGTACAGCAACTACAAACAGCCCACAAGGGGTTAGAGGGCCCTACTCTTTCGAGCTTACAATCTAGGAGGGAGGGGGTAGTGGTACAGGAGGAAGTGGCTGTGGGGGATGGAGTGGTAGGAGGAATGAAGGAGAACGGCTGTTAGGTGAGGGTGGGGTAGGCTTCCCTGAATAGATAGGTTTTCGGGGAGCGCCTGAAGGTGAGGAGGGAAGGTGGCAGTCTGATGGATTGGGGTAGTGAGTTCCAGAGGATGGGGGAGGACCTGGAGATGTCTTGCAGTCGTGCGTGTGAGGAGGAGACCAGGGAGCAAGATAGAAGGAGGTCCTGTGAGGAGCGAAGGGTACGGGTAGGGTGGTACTTGGGAATCAGGTTGGTGAGGTAGTTAGGGGCAGTGTTGTGAATGACTTTGTAGGTCAGAGTTAGCAGCTTGAATTTGTTTCGTTGGGCAATCGGGAGCCAATGAAGGGATTGGCAGAGGGGGGTGGCAGAGGTGGAGCGGTTGGTGAGGTGGATGAGTCTAGCCGATGAGTTCAGGATGGTCTGAAGCGGGGAGAGCCTGCACTGGGGTAGGCCGGTGAGAAGAGAGTTGCAGTAGTCAAGGCGTGAGATGATCTATCTCTCATCTGAACAATGTTTCTAAACAATGTTACTTTGTGTCGTTCCCTCTGAACAATGTTTGTAAACACTGTGTCAGATGGTCTGTTTTTACTGCTCCTGCAGCTGCTGTATTTATGCAACGACTCCCAGCTGTCATTTTTACAGCCTGGAATTGCTAGCTGCTGCAAGGCGTGATAGCAGGACGCAAGGACAGGGCATACTACACACACTCTGTGTACTTTCATGAAGTTTTTATATTAGATAAAATATAAAATGAATTTGGACCCCTTTTTTATCTCCCCACCCAGCTGCTGCATGTCACACTGCTCCATTATTGGGGACTTAATCCAGGGGCAGATTGATTCTCAGATGCTGATTTCTACACTCAGCTAAACAGGAGTCTATAAAGGAAACATTCGCTGGCCGGATGTCACACACACACACTCATCCTGGCTGGACTGCTGTACCCTTTATCTTCTGTAATAGGTTTATTCCTATGACTCCATCTAGTGGCCAAAATGCAATTATCATTTTCTGAAATACTTCAATGAGAAAATATACTGAACTTTGGCCAATAGATGGAGCCGACCATCATAGAAAATAAAGTGTTACTAAATCCTGGACCCTGCATTCACTATATCTGGTCTCCCCGGACCCTGCATTCACTATATCTGGTCTCCCCGGACCCCGCATTCACTATATCTGGTCTCCCCGGACCCCGCATTCACTATATCTGGGCTGCCCAGACTCCGCATTCACTATATCTGGTCTCCCCAGACCCTGCATTCACCATATCTGGTCTCCTTGGACCCTGCATTCATTATATCCGGTCTCACCGGACCCTGCATTCACTATATCTGGTCTCCCTGGACCCTGCATTCATTATATCCAGTCTCCCCGGACCCTGCATTTACTATATCTGGTCTCCCTAGACCCCGCATTCACTATATCTGGTCTCCCTGGACCCTGCATTCATTATATCCAGTCTCCCCGGACCCTGCATTCACTATATCTGGTCTCCCTGGACCCTGCATTCATTATATCCGGTCTCCCCGGACCCTGCATTCACTATATCTGGTCTCCCTGGACCCTGCATTCATTATATCCGGTCTCCCCGAACCCTGCATTCACTATATCTGGTCTCCCCGGACCCTGCATTCACTATATCCAGTCTCCCTGGACCCTGCATTCACTATATCTAGTCTCCCCGGACCCTGCATTCACTATATCCAGTCTCCCCGGACCCTGCATTCACTATATCTGGTCTCCCGGACCCTGCATTCACTATATCTGGTCTCCCGGACCCTGCATTCACTATATCCGGTCTCCCCGAACCCCGCATTCACTATATCCGGTCTCCAGGACCCTGCATTCACTATATCTGGTCACCCCGGATCCTACATTCACTATATCAAGTCTCCCGGATCCTACATTCACTATATCAAGTCTCCCGGACCCTGCATTCACTATATCTGGTCTCCCCAGACTCCGCATTCACTATATCTGGGCTCCCCGGACCCCGCATTCACTATATCTGGTCTGCCCAGACTCCGCATTCACTATATCTGGTCTCCCCAGACCCCACATTCACTATATCTGGTCTCCCCAGACTCCACATTCACTATATCTGGGCTCCCCGGACCCCACATTCACTATATCTGGTCTGCCCAGACTCCGCATTCACTATATCTGGTCTCCCCGGACCCCACATTCACTATATCTGGTCTCCCCAGACTCCACATTCACTATATCTGGTCTCCCTGGACCCTGCATTCATTATATCCGGTCTCCCCAGACCCTGCATTCACTATATCTGGTCTCCCTGGACCCTGCATTCATTATATCCGGTCTCCCCGAACCCTGCATTCACTATATCTGGTCTCCCCAGACTCCACATTCACTATATCTGGGCTCCCCGGACCCCACATTCACTATATCTGGTCTGCCCAGACTCCGCATTCACTATATCTGGGCTCCCCAGACCCCACATTCACTATATCTGGTCTGCCCAGACTCCGCATTCACCATATCTGGTCTCCCTGGACCCTGCATTCATTATATCCGGTCTCCCCGGACGCTGCATTCACTATATCTGGTCTCCCTGGACCCTGCATTCATTATATCCAGTCTCCCCGGACCCTGCATTCATTATATCCGGTCTCCCCGGACCCTGCATTCACTATATCCGGTCTCCCCGGACCCTGCATTCACTATATCTGCTCTCCGGACCCTGCATTCACTGTATCTGGTCTCCCCGGAACCTGCATTCACTATATCCGCTCTCCCCGGACCCTGCATTCACTATATCTGGTCTCCCGGACCCTGCATTCACTATATCTGGTCTCCCCAGACCCTGCATTCACTATATCTGATCTCCCCAGACCCCGCATTCACTATATCCGCTCTCCTGGACCCTGCATTCACTATATCTGGTCTCCCCGGACCCTGCATTCACTATATCTGGTCTCCCCGGACCCTGCATTCACTATATGTGATCTCCCCAGACCCCGCATTCACTATATCCGCTCTTCTGGACCCTACATTCACTATATCAAGTCTCCCGGACCCTGCATTCACTATATCCGGTCTTCCCCGGACCCTGCATTCACTATATCTGGTCTCCCCGGACCCTGCATTCACTATACCTGGTCTCCCCGGACCCTGCATTCACTATATCCGCTCTCCCCGGACCCCGCATTCACTATACCTGGTCTCCCCGGACCCTGCATTCACTATATCCGCTCTCCCTGGACCCTGCATTCACTATATCTGGTCTCCCCGGACCCTGCATTCACTATATCTGGTCTCCCACAGCAGTACACACAACATGGAAATGCAATTCTTTTAGTAAATATAAACTGCTAAATACCTTTTCTCATCAGCAGTATATAGCAGTCTTGTGACTTCTATCAGTGTCCAGCAGAGCACTGGTTAATCTTGTAGGAGGAGTTTTCTTTGTGCTTCAGAAGGATGCAGAACCCCTGACCTCTGTCTGGACAATGCTGATTGGCCCTGTGCTGATCACATGCACTCTCCTAGGAAAAAAAAAAAATCTCTCTAGCAATACACTCTAAACTGAGCATGTGCAGTGTCTCCACATGATATGTCTTATCAGGAGACAAGAAGGAGACCCTGGAAGAAGGGGAGAATCAGAGAAGTCGGGATTAGACAGCCTTTTTTACACAATACAGAGGATTAACCCCTTAGGTCCCACTGGTAGTATAACAAGAATGCTTTCCTGCATCTACAGACTGATTGTACTGTTGTGGGTTTAGTAACACTTTAATTTATTGCAGAAAGTGTGGTGAACTCAGCCCAGCCTGCAGGGACGTGTGACATTCATCCCACAAATGTGTTATACAAAGAGCCCGTCATTTCCACCCTGCTTTACAGGCATTCCGCTGCATTGGAAGCAATGGCAGACCTCGGTGCAATGTACAGATGGCTTCTCTGCTTTGTAATGACATTGTTACATTTACTTGGTGGACATGTTACATTGTATCATCTCTTGGTGACAGAGGATAAAGATGTTCCTGCAGCAACCAATCAGTTTGCGTTCTGCAGAATTCACTAGAAAAATACGATTGCAAGGGGCAGGATCACCGGTGTTCTCAGGCTCAGGCTCGGGGCCCCCAGCAGAGTCTATCCCAGGCTGTCATGTATATCGTTTTGTCAGATTGTCTTCTGTGTTCCAGCCGCCATCCCTGCGTCTCGTGGTGGTTGTGATGTCTGAAATCTGCAGGATGAATCGAGGAACAACTGTGTGTCATGCTGAATGCTGTCCTGTCCTGGGTGGGGGGGGGGTGGAATCTATAGGAGGGTGGGGGTCCCGGCTGTGAGGCATGAGGTGTGAAATGTCTCCTACAAGGTGGCTGTAATACCTCCAAGCCGTATTTTCTATTAGTTTGCTGTATTTCAGGGACACATTAGAGGGGCGGCTCCACCCTGAACTGATATTTCAGTATTTGGTTGGGCACTGCAATGAGGCGTGAGAAGTGAGACACCTTTATTGACTTCATAATTGTGGACTGTAGCAGTGTGACAACTGTGCCGATGTTCCCTATTTTGAATTCAGTAAGGTAGTCTCACTCCTCTTGCCTCATTTTCTGTAATGCAGAGTAACGACATAAGCAGAGTAAGGATACCAGTCCCTTCCATTGGTCATGGCAGGTGAAAACCCCTCCTCCGTGTGAGATATAAGAAGCTATTGGCTGGTTAAACCTGGATGGTGAAATGTTAGTTTGATGGAAGAAGGAGCACTTCATATGTTTCTATAGGAAAGTGTTAAATGCTTCCTATTTACAAAGGGGGACTAGTCCGGGGTTTATAAAGAGGTTTACCGGACAGATATCTGTGGCAGCTCCAGTTGATCTCAGTACAGCTGATATCAGATCAGAGCTCAGACCTTGCAGAGCCCTCAGCTGTCCTGTGGAAGTAAGGCCTCATGTATGTGACGTGTAGCTTTCCTGTGGGAGTAAAGAGCTGAATCAGACCCTGCAGAGCCCTTAGCTGTCTTGTGGAAGTGAATGAGCTGCCTTAGCCCCTGCAGAGCCCTTAGCCTTCCTGTAGAAGTGAATGAGCTGCATCAGCCCCTGCAGAGCCCTTAGCTGTCTTGTGGAAGTGAATGAGCTGCCTTAGCCCCTGCAGAGCCCTTGGCCTTCCTGTAGAAGTGAATGAGCTGCATCAGCCCCTGCAGAGCCCTTAGCTGTCCTGTAGAAGTGAATGAGCTGCCTCAGCCCCTGCAGAGCCCTTAGCTGTCCTGTAGAAGTGAATGAGCTGCATCAGCCCCTGCAGAGCCCTTAGCTGTCCTGTAGAAGTGAATGAGCTGCATCAGCCCCTGCAGAACGCTTAGCTGTCCTGTAAAGTGAATGAGCTGCATCAGCCCCTGCAAAGCCCTTAGCTGTCCTGTAGAAGTGAATGAGCTGCCTCAGACCCTACAGAGCCCTTAGCTGTTCTGTAGAAGTGAATGAGCTGCCTTAGACCCTGCAGAACCCTTAGCTGTCCTGTAGAAGTGAATGAGCTGCCTTAGACCCTGCAGAGCCCTTAGCCTTCCTGTATAAATGAATGAGCTGCATCAGACCCTGCAGAGCCCTTAGCTGTCCTGTAGAAGTGAATGAGCTGCATCAGACCCTGCAGAGCACTTAGCTGTCCTGTAGAAGTGAATGAGCTGCATCAGACCCCGCAGAGCCCTTAGATGTCCTGTAGAAGTTAATGAGCTGCATCAGACCCTGCAGAGCCCTCAGCCATTCTATGGATGTAAGGCCTCATGCATATGACGTGTAACTTTCCTGTGGAAGTAAATGAGCTGAATCAGACCCGGCACAGCCCTTAGCTTTCCTGTGGAAGTAAATGAGCTGCAGACTATAAATTGCTGAGCTGTCAGTATGAGTTTATTTTTCTGAGGAGCATCTTGCAGTTCCAATCAGTATTCGTATCCCTCTCCATCCCTCCCTTAGAGCCCCAAATAACACACATCGAGTTCTTCATCTCGTTCTTGGTCAGGTGACGGAGCATAGACCGACCATATTTGTGTCACAAAATTTCCTCCCTATAAACAATTTGTATTTCTGCTTCTCCTACAGCCCGAGAAGAGAATGTGGCCACCTTCCGCGGCTCGGAGTACCTGTGCTACGACCTGTCTCAAAACCCCATCCAGAGCAGCAGCGACGAGATCACCCTGTCCTTCAAAACCCGCCAGAGGAACGGACTCATCCTGCACACGGGCAAGTCGGCCGACTACGTCAACCTGGCACTGAAGGGTGGAGCCGTGTCCCTGGTCATTAACCTGGGCTCCGGCGCTTTCGAGGCCATCGTGGAGCCGGCCAACGACAAGTTCAACGACAACGAGTGGCATGACGTCAAGGTGACTCGGAACTTACGCCAGGTAAGGGGGATCTCGCGCCTCCTCTGGAGGGGAACACTGCTAAGTAAGGTGAGGGATGGCGAGGAAGAATCGGGAAAAGGCAACATTAGAGGGACGAGAGAGGGATATTATCGCACAATATCTTACAACAAGCGTGCAACCGCCAACATCCGCGGTCATGTGACTGGGGCACTCTGGCAGTCAGGAATAGACACTGGTTCTTCCATTTAGGTATTGTCTCTTTAAGATCCCGTATAGACCCATACACATATATTCACCTCCAAATTTACAGGGCCGTGTATCACATCATATGTTCTGTTTGGTGTGGAGTTCATATATATATATATATATATATATATATATATATATATATATATATATATATATATATATACGCAGCGGTACAGGAAAGTCATCAGCCAGTCGCACTCCTACACGTCTCAGCTTTACACGTGTCGTAGAATCCGCATGCGGCTTATTCACACATCTCAGGAGACGGCATGGATAATACACACACACAGAGGCTTCAGAGATTGCGGTTATCACAAGATCTCGCCTTCTAGAGAGCGGAGAGATTCGCACACTGCGTGGCCCTCTGCGTCCGAGATGGAGTTGATACCATCACATCTATTTATAATATTTCCTGTATAAATGCGATAAGAGCAGATCTGAAACCTGTCCCCAATCCTGGGAACCTCGGTCCTGAAATATGGAATACAATGTAGCAAAGCAGTACTTTAGATACAATTTACAGTCCAAAGGCCAACCGGCCACGTTTGCAATAAATAGGTTGGTGAGGCCATCCAATATACAGTCCTTTGTTACTGGCCACATTTGTAATGAAAGCCTCTAGGGCCGTCCTATTGACACTCTAAAATATGGTCATGTTTGTAATGAACAAGTAAGTAGGTTCATCTACCTTGCATTCCAAAATGACTGGCCACATTTGTAATGAATAAGCTCATAGGGCCATCCAATTTACACTCTAAAATTACAGCCATGTTTTTAACAATTAACTTTGTAGAGCCATCCAGTTTACATTCCAAAACTGACGGCCATGTTTTTAATGATCAACTTTGTGGAGCCATCCAATTTACATTCCAAAATTGTCCATGTTTGGAATGAGTAAGCCTATAGGGCTATCCAATTCAGATTCCAAAATTACCGACCACGTTTTTAACAAATAGGTCAGTAGGGCCATCCTGATCACACTCTGGAATTTCCACCACGTTTGTAATGAATGAATGAACCGGTACAGCCATACAATGTAGATTCCAAAATTACCGCCCACATTTGTAATGAATAAACCAGTAGGGCCATCCAATTTACACTGTAAAATTTCCAGGCAAGTTTGAAATGAGTAAGCCTATAGGGCCCTCCATTTTACATTCCAACATTACTGGCCACGTTTGCAATGAATAGGTCTACAGGGCTATCCAATTCACATTCCAAAAGTACAGGCCAAATGTGTAATGAATAAGCCGGTAGAGCCATACAAATCACACTCTGAAATTATCGGCCACGTTTGTAAGGAATAAACTGGTAGAATCATACAATGTACATTCCAATATTCCTGGTCACGTTTGTAGTAAGCCGGTAGAGCCATACAAATCACACTCTGAAATTATCAGCCACGTTTGTAAGGAATAAACTGGTAGAACCATGTAACGTACATTCCAAAATTCCTGGTCACGTTTGTAGTAAGCCGGTAGAGCCATACAAATCACACTCTGACATTATCGGCCACGTTTGTAATGAATATACTGGTAGAGCTGTTATCTCAAGCTCGCCATTGGCTCTGATGAAGAATTTGTTCCTGGACGCACGGTCACGGTGATGTCATAGAGGACAGTTCTCGTGTCGCTTTCTTGCTTATAATGTTGAATCTCTTTGTGTTGCGGTGACTCATTCTGGGATTACACCGCTTCCCAGGCGGAGAACGTAAGTATGACATATGGGAGGGGGAAGCC